ACCACAGTGACAGATAATCTCTCCCACTTATCGCAACAATACATCCACAACAAAAACACGCTGATCACCCTATCTCCTGAAAAGGACAAAAGCTGTTCTCACAGCTATAAATACTCAACTATCCAACAAACAGCAACAGAGCATGGACAGAGTTCCTACTCCAGTCCTCTGAAGATGCCGGCCACAGAGACTGGCGAAACGTCAGGAAGAACAACCTTCAAAACACAGCCAAAGAGCCCAAAAAACCCACAACGACCATGCCCAAGTACCCTTTGGTCTCTCTGTTGTGCAAGGAGACTTTGGATTAAGATGGGACGTAGGGGTCAACATGGGATGGTGGCCAAGAGAAGTCAGTTCCATGATACGGCAAGTTCTTCTTCTAGATGAAGGATCTCAAGAAGAAGACAAAGTCATCCATGTGGGAGACTTAGAGAGTCGTGTCCATTTGTCTGCAGGACCTGCGTCCACCTCCAGCGCTTGCGTCTATGACAGAACCAGGTGAGTGGTCATTTTGGCGTTGCTTTGTTGGTTACCCCATGACAGAACAGGAAATCAACACGGAAAACATATAGACTACATCCTGGCAGAAAGCAAGATAAAAAAATTGGAAGGCTAAGCTATAAGATCCAGGTAGATGTGTCCCTACTATCTGTTCAAATATTCCTACCAAGAAAAATTCCATGTAGCCCTAGAATTTGGGGTTACACAATGACTCTGACACAACACAGATAAACAGATGCCTGCCTTCCTACAATGCAATGTGTAGTGGTTATTTCCATAATATGTAGTGATGACCACTGATCGCTATGTATCACATAGGTTTTATAAGGGGTTTGGCCTGGTTGATGGAGTTTATTGTACTCAAAAGGACTGTATCTTATTCCTAGTACAGTGCTGCGTCGCAAGACAAATGCCTTGCATGACGAAAAAACCACAAGACGAATGGTTTTTTCAATTGCTATGGTGCCTCGCAAGACGGTTTCTTCTATGGCTGTGCTTCGCAAGACGTTTTTTTCCCCTCGAGACCAATGCCTCGCAAGCCAAAAAAAAATATTCATTTCTTCTTGTGAGGTTCCCATAGGAATGCATTGCAATGCATTCCTTTGGGAAACCGCTTTTCGCAAGACGATTTTTTTTGCAAGACAGCGCTACTCACGGAACGAATTACATTCGTCTTGCGAGGCACCACTGTATGTTTCTGAACATAAACATTGAGGGAAGAGTTATTGTTCATAACTCTTCTTAGTCGGCAAGTTTAAAAGGGCCTTTTCGGAGTTCCACCTGTAACTGAAAATTATAACTGCAGAGCCAGGAAGGATCGTCAAGATCATCAAGCCCAGCCCCTGTCAAGGAGGCACAGTGGGGAATCAAAGTCCTTGCCTTTCAACCATGGAACTATCCAGCAGTTCTTTGAAAAGTATTGGGCATGTAATAGACTTGTCCTGTTGGAGGCAAGCATTACGAGTCCTTGAATTTTAGATTTCTGAGACTGGAATGACATGATTCTGTTGTATGTTCCAACATCCAAGAAGTCTAAGGTATGTCACTTAGAACAGGAGGAGTCCATAGATGTGGTCTGGCATTAGAAGAACACGCGGCCACGATAGGTATTCAGCCATGGAATGTTTTGGGTTATGACTCAGGCTACCTCGAGGCTATGGGATGAACTCTTCATGCGATGTTTGGTCCACAGGTGTTTTCCCCACAGTGTTTCCCAACAATCTTCTGGAATCATTGTTTAATAGCCAGAATCACACCCTCAAACGCTCTCTCATTAGTGGACTTTTAAATGCCTGTGCCAGCCAGTATATATCTATTTTTAATCCCCATGTTCTTGTCCTTGATGGAGAAGAATGTTTCAGCACCACAAAACACTCCACGAAAAAAAAACAACAACTTTGTTGTGTTTTCTGGACTCTGAATGCTAAGACCGTTTTTTCCTTGTGTTGCAGGGCACAGGGTCACAAACGTTTTAAACGTTTAGGTTCAAAGTTGCTGAACAGCAATTTATGAAATCAACTCGGCTCCGATTTCTAATACAGTGGTGCCTCGCTAGACAGTTAACTCGCATGACAGTTTTTTCACTAGACATTGACTTTTTGCGATCGCTATAGTGATTCGCAAAACAGTGCTTCCTATGGGGGAATTTTGCTGGACAATGTTTGGTCCCTGCTTCGCAAACCGATTTTCGCTAGACGACGATTTTGACAGCTTCCTCCACGCTCTCAAAACAGGCGTTTTCGGGACCTAAGCTTCGCAAGATAGCGATTTAAACAGCTGATCGGCGGTTCGCAAAGCGGCTTTCCTATGGCCGATCTTCGCTAGACAACGACGTTTCTTCCCCATTGGAAAGCATTAAACAAGTATCAATGCATTCCAATGGGGAAATGCTTTTCGCTAGACGATGATTTC